GCTGACCTTGCTGTCCCTCAGATATGTCTGGAGTTTATTCTGAGGGTGCTGGGGAACACTGTGAGGATGGGGTGATGTTCTGTGAACTCTTCCAGGGCAGAGTGCCCTGTCTGCACCGGGAAGGGACTGGACTTGGTGTGATGCCTTCCCATCCTGTGCCGGGTGGTTGAAGTGAGGGTTGGTACCGGACCAGGAAGGAGCCCGGAGTGGGGCTGCTGCCACGTGGCTGATGCTGGCTCTGGCTGTGCTGCTTGTGTGGCTGTCTTGTCTGGAAGCCTTTCAGCATCAGGACTCTCTTGGTAGCAGTGGTGCTAATGACATCTGCCGGGAAATCTGATCCTGTGCATCTCTGCCAGTAGCTGGTTCTCAAATATTTATGTGAGGTGCTCGGCAGCGCAGCTGCAAGTAAGAATAGAGAACAGTTACTGTCCTGTAATCGTAAATGGCTTCAGTTATATTGGATGAGACAGCCAGGGGTGAACCTTTGGAAGTTGTTGGGTATTTTTTTAACACAATTTCATCAAGTTTGTGCTTGAGGATTGGAAGCAGGTGACAGCATTGAGGCACTTGATGTCACGGAGAGGCCGCTGTAGCTCGGTTGACCTCAGTAGTGTTAATAGTGAAACAGTAAGAATTAAATGCTTCTTGAGAAGACGAAAGGCTTCTCCCCCGAGCTGTCAGCAAGTCTGTGCTGTACACAAAGGCCTGGGAAGTCCAGCTGCGTGTCTGTTTGCTGAAGTGCTTAATTGTGTTGTTAATACCCAGTCACTTGTTGTTGCAAACGCCGGCTACAAAATACAATACTCCCCGTGTATTTGAGTGTGTATTGCACGCCGTACCTTCAGGTAGGGGCTCCTGAGGATTCATCCCCTCTCTTAGGGGAGTGGAGGAGGCGGCGTGTTTATATATTGCTTTCTGGGTGTATTTGTCCACATTGCACGCTCATCACAGGCCTGCCTGCTGTGCTGCAGGCGTCCCCACACCTTCTCCCCCTGAAACATTCTCCCCAGTCAGCAGTCGAAGTAAACGCTTGCCTGCTTTCAGGTCCTTCCAAGGAAGGTGGAACAGCTCGTATGGCGAAGAAGCAAAAGACAACTGGAGCGAGGAGGATGAGCTCTTCTCAGATGCAGGTAAGAACAGAGCCTCTGTTGCAGGTGTTAATTGATGGTAATCCTGGCTTTGGGGCACATGCACAGGTGTCTTGCTGCCTTCTGTGTCATTGAATTTTGAAACCAGAAATCCGAAAAGCCCAAGAAAATAGGTAGCTGTCGAACTCTGCCATGTTTGTTCTTTGTACCTCTAACCTGACGTGCGTGCCAGAAACTCCTGTTCCCGCTTCAGACTAATCATGCTTAGCTTACCGGATG